TGCATGTTTAAATTCTCTCTGTCTCTTCTGTTTTTTGATTTCTGTGTTGAAGTTTGTTGAATCTTTTGATATGTTTTGTTGCAGATTTACAGAGAAATAGGTGAGAAGTATGGGGTGAACTACTCGGAGGGAGAGATTCTGAATAGATACAGAAGGGCTTACCAGAAACCTTGGGGTGGATCTCGCCTCAGGTCAACTTTTCTCCTTCGATTCACTGAGTTTTTGTTTTGAATTGGCTACAAATTTCAGCTTCTTATGACTGATTTTGCATTTATTGTTCTTCTTGTTCTCGTCTGGATCTCGTAGACCTTGTGTTCTGTGAAAGAAAAGTCATACACACCTAATACCATTGTCCAAAAGACCATTGAATCGTTGACTAGATCATATTTCCGAGGATATATTTGTAACTCTTCCAATGTAGAATTAAGAAGAATTTATTGTCTTTTTGGTTAATAGCTGTCCATCATTAAAGTGTATATGCCTTTTAGGTTTGTAGTTTAGAAGAAAAATTATTTGGTCCAGTGGGAGCAATTTCTAAGGAATTATAGTTTATTTAATGAAATTTTCTCACAGTTAAGTCAAATGGGAGCAATTTCAAAGAAATTATAGTTTATTTAATGAAGTTTTCTCACGGTTAGAGTTAGGCCACTGCCTGTTATAATTTTAGCTTTATGCTGTGGCCAGCCTAGTATCCTAGTCAGTTTACAAAGTGCTTTTGTCAGAATCAAGTCGCTTAAACCTGTAAAACTGGAATCATAATTGATTATCATGGCCTGTGTTTTCCTGGTCAGTCGAAAGAGTAAACTGGTGGGAATATTTTTAATAATTATGAATCAGCCTTGGAAACACAGCTTTTTTTCATCAGTTTGTTTTGTACGGCTGAGGAACAAGATCTTATAAATTGGAGCAATTGCTTGCTCATTTGATTTCATTGATGATCTGATGAGATGTTTGATATTTTTAATAATTAGATTATGAGATTTCATAATTTTAGGCATTTTCCTGGGGGGGAATGAGATGTCAGTTCTTCTCAGATCTCTGTTTGAGTAATCTAGAGACAGCGAGAAGTCTTCTAATTCTTCTCCAATTCCTTTTAAATTGATGGCATAAAAAATAACATTTGGCCTCGTGGAACTGCAGATATGTGAGCGATGGGAGACCCTTTTGGCAATATATCGTCAGTTCTTCAACTGGCTGTTCAGATTCTCAGTACTTTGAAGAACTCTATAACTACTATACGACTAACAAGGTTAGAATTATCGGCAGCCACTTTTTCCTCGGAGCTCCTAGTGGTGATATTTCTTGTTCTATAGACATATAGTTATGTTCTTTCTGCTGATAATATGTTCGCAGGCTTGGCACCTTTGTGATCCTGAAGCTGAGAGAGTCTTTAAAGCTCTCAAAAAAGCAGGTGTAAAGATAGCCATTGTTTCAAATTTCGACACTCGATTAAGACCTCTCTTGCGGGCCTTGAACTGTGATCACTGGTTCGACGCTGTGGCAGTGTCAGCCGAGGTGAGCTATTCATCCCTTTTCATTGGTTCTGTTGGACTTCTTCTATATGTTTTTCCTGCTGCTCCCATTGTTTTCCATGGCTACTGAGACACGATTTGGTTATAAAACTGCTTTGCTTATAAAGGTACATATGAGTTTACATCTGAAATCCTTCCCAACGTGATCCTGAACAGGTCGAAGCTGAAAAGCCTAATCCAACAATCTTCCTAAAAGCCTGTGAGTTGCTGGGTGTGAGACCTGAGGATGCCTTACACGTAGGGGACGATCGTAGGAACGATATATGGGGCGCGAGAGACGCGGGTTGTGATGCATGGCTGTGGGGAAGTGATGTACACTCCTTCAAAGAGGTATATGCTTCAATCCATTCACTCACTGCAGAATGAAAGAACTTACCAAATTTGATCTAGTTCTACTGTCATTTATATGTATCAAATCAACCACAAATCTCCTTCGCACAAATGTCGGTCACGATGCTTGACTTGCTGGTTTTTTGGCAATGCAGGTTGCAGCGAGGATAGGAGTGAAAGTGTGAAAAGGGAATTCGAGTACGGTAAAAGATTTTAAATTTGAATTTCCATGGAAGCTGGATGGATGTACAGGGATTTAGCAGTGAGAGCAGCGCAGCTGAATGTGTATATATTGTATTTATGTGCTTCTGTTTGTAGTTTGTTTATGGACTGTTTTTGCTACCGAGCACACAAAATAAATACAACTCTTCTTCTACTTTCCTGTTTTTCTTTTGTTTCCCAAGTCATATTTGATACTCGAATACTCGGTTCGATAACCCGTTACTAATTCTTCCTCTCTTTCAAGCATATACAAAGTCAATGTATATTTGTTCGCTTTTTTTTTTTAAATCAGATTTTGTTTTAATACAACATATAGGGATAAGAATTCAAACTTACGACATTTTGGATAATATCTTAACTAGTGGAGTTAAAGTTTAGATCGAAGAGAATTAGAATTCAAAATAAAATTCAGTTAAAGTTTAGATCGAAGAGAATCATCAAAGAGGCATGAACTGTGGAATTTATTATCTTTGAGATAGAGATTTTTATTCCTAAGAAATGAATAGTAAAAGGAGAGGGAAATATATAAATTAATTATATAAATGGATGGCTCTATTTTATTAAATATTTATAAATATAATTTTTTTAAAAAGTAATTACATACATACATATATATTTTTTTTAAATTATTGTATATACATTTTTTTCCTTCATTATTACTTTCTGGGAACTAAGGATTCTTAAAATTGTATGAATGCAATTTGATCTTGATTTTTAGTGAATTATATAAAGTTTTATTTTTCCTTTTGATTTATGAGTGAAAATAACTTGTTAATTTATGTAATATGTCCACAATTTGAAAGACATTATTAAATAGAGGGTAACATAATCTCACAAGAGTTGTACTCATAATTTTTTCTATATATGAAAAATAGAGGAACAGTTTTCTTTTTAAGTGCTTGTTTGAGATTTGAACATTGAGATCTCCTAATTTTATTAGCCAGAGAATTTTTTTTTCTCTCTAAACAGCCTAAGAAGAATTTAGTACAATTGTTTATTTTAAGGAAAAAAATAAATATAATCATATAAGTAAAAAGGATTTTTTAACCTAACCATATAACTATGAACTGCTTGAGGAGAGCAACTTACATACTACAGTGGTTATAATTGTGAATTTCCTATATATGGGATTGCAGTCTAATTATTTTAGTGAAATAATTGAGATTAATGAATAAAGATTATTTAATTCAAAATATAATCAATAAATTTAATATCATTTTTCATTAAAAATGAATCTATTATTCAACACAGGCATAGTTCAACAGGTGGAGACATTCCGCAGTTTGAATAAAAAATATGTCTTAGTTAAAACTTCTTATTTAATTGTGAAAAATAAGTGGTTAAATTGAATAGATTGAATCCATAATTAAAGTTTTAATTTATATACTTTTAAAAGTGACAATTTTGACCTCTATTTACAAAATTTTAACACAAATTTAAAAAACTCAACAAATTTATGACTAGATTTCAAAAAACTTAGTATCATTTTAAATTTTTTATCAAAATAAATGAGATAGAAACGGAAATGAATTGACCAAAATGATTACGCTTTTAAAATACAAAGACCAAAACGAAATAATATAGGATATTAGTATTTAAACCTATCTGAAAAAACCATCTTCTGGGTCGAAATTAAATATGTTTAAGGAGAGGGAATGAATTAGAGTATAATGAAACAATCAATAATTAGAGCACTGGCTTCACACAAAACTATATCCTCAAAGTTCAAGGGAGCATTAAGATTAGGACAATGACGAATAATCAAACAAAAATCAATACATAAATCACATCTTTGAATCACAAAATTTTTCTATATACTATTCGTTCTATTGATGATCATATTGTTTCAATTGGATCCTCTAGTGTGCATCCTATTTGTTTCCTCTGTAAATAGAAATGACAAGCTCTCCTACTCATTTAAGTGAAACATAACCTACCAAACTAACAAAATTTACAGCTTCAAAACTCTTCTCATGGATCAGATGAACTCTCCGAACATGCGTCGTGACGTTTACGCTCTGCTATTTTCCTCAGCTATCCCTTATATGTGACTAAATTGGTGAATTAGGCTGCAACTTTGATATATTTTGCTTTATAAGATGCAACAGTGTGAACATTCACCTGTGGCCTCTTCTACCTCTACCTCTGCCTCTGCCTCTGCTTTGGCCAGGTCTCATTCGACCTCGAACACCTGATTTACCCTTTGAACCTGCAAATTCCGCGCTCCTCATGTTCTTCTTACGAGGGCCTTCATCATCATCATCTTCCTTATACCTGGCCGAGCTTCTGGGCCTAAATGAAATCTCTCGCGACCCTCCTGGTCCCAATTTAACTTCATTAAGAATACCAGAATCCCGTTTATTGTCTCCCATAGCAGCAACTCTCTCCTCCATGGTGAGCCTGTTCTCCTTGGCAAGCGATACACGGTTCCAGAATGCCTCAGCATGCCTTTCATCCTTAACCTCATACAATCTACACATTGTCATTAACAAAATTACCAGACGTTTCGTTACCAAAGATTCTGATATAATATTTAGCACAAAGAATTCATATGAACTCAGAGAGAGAGAAAGAGGTTAACTAATATGTATTCCTTTTTCCCTTAATGGAGAACTTTTACTAAAGCATACAGACTTTTTTCATAGGTTTGAAGATCAGAAAACTACTAGCTCTTAAAAGAAGTGCCTACAGAGAAAAATAATTCAGAGTTGAAGAAAACTCACTTCGGAACTCGTGCTTTCTTATGTTTACCACTGCCAGGTTCATCTTCGGACTCGGATGCAACTGAGGCATCAGAATTACTTATGCTTTGATCACTATCCTCCGACACAGGTTCAAAATGCTCTTCCACCAAAGATGGTTGCTTCGTAGAAGACACTGGATGCAGCGCAAGATACTCTTGTGAAAACTCATCGATCTCGAAGTTCTGCAGTAAATGAAAAGATGCTATAACATGATCCAACATAAACAAAGTAAGCTACTTAAAAATGAAAAAGTGAAATTCAAGTGATCACCCCAGGCCCAAAGTTTCTTTTTCTTGACATTTACTTTGTTAAGAAACATCTGGAAACATATTCCACGAGCAGATGTTGGCATATGTAATTTGATCTTTTTAATTAGATATATTGTAAATGAAGCCTTTGACATTTTTCTTCTTTCCCTTTCAAGAGTTTTGAGACTGATAGAAAATAAGTAACAGAAATATCGAATAAAAGATGACGAGGAGTGCTCGACAGCCATACCTCATTTTTAAACATATTTGAAAAACGTTCATCTTGAAAGATTTCGCTACTGAAACCTTTCTTCTTCTTTGATGCCTTCTTAGTCTTATTGACATCATCCTTCTTTTCCTTTTCAGTGTCTTCATCCTTCTTTTCCTTTTCAGCTTCTTCGTCTTCAAGAATTTGATTTGCAAGGCGCCTGTTAACTTTGGGTAATTTCCTTTTCATCTGGAGCAAAATAGTAGATAAAATACAAGTCAGACAGTTTGATGAAATTTTAAAATATATAAGTTGGCAAGCCATAATAGGAGATCCCATAAAGACTTTGCCTGACCTTCCACTTACAAATTCTAAGTACATGGAAACATCCTAAAACAAGATAGAAAGAAAACTCATTCACACATCAGGAGATTCCTAAATGGAATATCACTACACATCAGAACTTAACTTCAATGGTTGTACAATGTAAGTGATAAAAAATTGTTAGAATCCATATAAATGAATTAAATTTACCCAACCCATCAGCTTAAGCTTTTGGGTTGAGTCGTGATTTGTTCATTAAGATGGTATCAGAGCAGGAGATCCTGTGTTCGAACCCCTGCGTTGTTGTTCCTCCCCATTTATTATAATTTCCACTTGTTGGGTCTTGATGTTATTTTCCAAGCCCACAAGTGAGTTGGAGTGTTAGAATCCATATAAATGAATTAAATTTACCCAACCAATCAGTTTAAGTTTAGTGGTGGTTTGTTCATTCTTAAGAAAAATAATTTCAATAATTTAATTAAAAAAAATTTAAACGCAGCTGTCTTTAGGTCGATGAAAACAAATATTATCTCATAGTGGCCTTCATTTTTAGAATTAAAATAATGGAAAACTAAATAAAGATGGTACAAAATAAAAGGCAATGATGGCTTGGGTCATATGACCTTCATACCACTAAGAGGGGTTCAAAAGAAGTATCCTACACCCAATCCTCAACCAAGTTGTGTGTTGTGCATGAAAGCTTCTGAAGACGACCAAAAAGTTTAATGATGGTAAGCTGGAATTACATTCCCCAGTCAGCATAATGTTGAATGGAGCTCTTAGTTACCTTTGAAGAGCCTAAAGGAAATAAATCTATGCCTATATTAGAGAAAAGTCAAAGAAGAATAAATCTATGCCTATGTTGAATGGAGCTCTTAGTTACCTTTGAAGAGCCTAAAGTTTAATCCCTCTAGGGTTGGGCACAGCAGCCTAGTTCTGCAATCTGCGACTTATAGAGCCTGCCCAGAGCAAACTTTAGCCTATGCCTTCTAACAAATCAAGATTGACTTCCATTTCATTCAGTTTTGGATTCTGTTGTCTATTATCTGATTGAGTCTTTGGATGTGTTTTGCTATTTCTCTTGTTGGCCAATTTTTGCCCTTGTCCAGGGCCAAGGGCGTCTGTTTCTGGTTCCGCAATCACTGTAGAGACTTTACATATATTTTTTTCTTCTACTAAGCAATTTTTGCCCTTTCCTCCCATTGAAGTCGTTTATTCTCAAAAGGACATTTTTTGGCAGCCTCTTTTAGATTCTATTAGTACAGTATCGTTCATGTTCAACTTTTCTAGAGTAAGAGTCCAAAACCATACTTTCACCTATTTAAGGATTTTTGCCTTCCAAATGACTTTGACAAGTAGTTACTTGAAAGGAGGTCTCCGCTGTGAAGTTGGGGATGAGAGCTTTTCTTGAGGCAGAAAAAATATCTTGGGTAGGTTGGGGACAAGAGACCTTATTGAGAAGTATCCACTGCTATGAAGCACACTGTCTAGAGTCCTCCTAATTGCTAGGGGGTTGAGAGCTAATTAAATTTAGTATTGAGTTCCACCCCTCGGCATCAATATCTGTGATGTTTCTTCTAAAAAGAAGATTCCAACCATTAAATATCTCTAACCAGCACTACTTGACATTAAAACCCTTAAGAGATGGCAACATCGTAGAGTCTCGGGAAACTAGAGCTGAAGGGTGTTCCCAATCCACTGATTCTCCCAAAACACTCTAAATGTCTAGCCTTTTTTATCTTTCTTGGTTCTCTTCCTTTCATCCAGCAGAGCACTTTTTAACCACTGACACAATGTGGCATCAAGAAGTAAGGCCAAAGTTCTCTGGTGAAACATTGCCAAGAAAATCTGAACAGAAAGAAATTTAAGAATCTTAAAACGAAAGGGTAGAGATTTAAAGCATTCGGGAGTCTGCTAGATTTTCGGCTTCTACTAGTTAGTCCATTCTTCATAAATACTTGGTAACTACGATTTGTTTCTCATTAACACCAATTTGAACTTCTTTTTGCAAACTTCCCTTGGACCTCAGTGGCACCTCATCTAGCTTTCTGCATTATTCTTTATTGTGACAAATGAATAATTTCAATTTCTTACTAAGAAGAAAAAGAAGAAAAAGAATTATAAGCAATGGAGAGAGGCAAGTGAAACAGAGAATCTGTACACGTGAGGTCCAATAAAATTAGGAGCATCATTTTCCACATGCCTTCTGTCATACCAACAAGCGATTCAATTAAAATCCTACTAATCTTGAATCCCAGACTTCCCTTCTTATAAAAAAAATAAAATAAAATTAGCATCAAAGAAACAGACAAGAATATTAACAAATTGATCAAAACTAAGATAATAAAGTATTACAGTGTTTTGGGACAAAAAATGGATTACCGTAATTCGGTTGGCACGCTCCTCATCTAGTTTCTCTTTTTTCCTTTGTTCTATGTACGCATCATATGCAAAAGGATCCACCAGTGATTTTGCCTGCAATAACAAACACCACTAGATTAGCACTTAAAATACCTCAGTCTATAATATAATATTTTTTGGGGGACCAGTTTGCGAACTTTACTTTCAAGTTACTACCATCATCTTGCAACCTAGCCTAGCACACCGAAATTTCTCCAGAAAAAATTCAAAGAGCAAACTAAAAGTTGTATAAACAAAAAGAAGATATATTTTAGAAAAAAAAAAATTAGAGATATAAGAAGCGGGAAATAAAATACACAAGTAAAGCTATAAACAATGAACACTCAAAAGAGATTTGGTTGGAAAATATTATTATTATTATTATTATTATTATTATTATTATTATTATTATTATAAGAAACAACCCGTTCATTGAGAATAATGAAAATAGATACAAGAACTACAAAAAGGACCTACAGAAAGGGCATACAAAAAGACAGCCCTGAGAGAGGAGGCTTTCCAAAGACAGCCCTGAAAGAGGAGGCCCCTAAAGAAAGGGACTCCAATTCAAAAGAATAAGACCTAGCGAATAATTACAAAAAGGCTTAGAAACCGAGCCCCATAACGAAGTATTAAATCTAACGATATCCAAACATAGTCCACAGACTTTTCCACCCCCCTTAAACAACCTGTGATTCCTTTCCAGCCAAATACCCCATAAAGTAGCTAGAAAGCAAGCCTGCCACAAAAAACAACCCCATCACAAAAAAGGGTATAAAAGCACCTCCTCCATCATAGCCCTACAATCCCCAATATATGTGTTTTTTATTTATTCTCATGCTTTTTGGCATATTAAAAAAAGGTTGATAATAATGTTGTCAAAATACAAGGACAAAAATACAAATAACCAAAGTGAGAAACAACAAAAATAGTTAAAAAAAAATTATGAAATAAGGACCACTGGATTTTTTTTTTCCTTTAATGGATGAAGTAATCTCGTGAAAGAGGAGCAATTATCTTAAGAATGGATGGGAAATCAAATCAAAATCAGCATATGCAAAATTCAAAAATATATTTCTCTATCCTATCCCACAAGTCTCCACTAAGGTTCTCCATATGTTACCCAGTGATCTATCAAAATTAAGCAATTCTCATGTATTTAATACTACCAGAAAATGAAGCTGTCACTATTAAGGAAGGAAGCATCTTATTTTAAGTTCTGGAGAAAGAGCATAAGCCATACCGTAAACAAAACCATAAATTTACACGTAAGCCATACTATAAATAAAACAATAAATTCACACACAAGCCATACTATAAACAAAACCATAAAATTACCTTTTTATACAAACGATAATCAATAAAGAAACCATGAAGGTAAGCTCTTAGCAGATTGGTCCCAATCAGGTTTGTCAAATTTAGCCTCTCAAGTTCTTCTTTTGTCAAGAACTTGAAATCATCATATATTGTTGTTTGTGCACCCTCCTCCAACTCCTCCTACATTAAGAAAGAAAAAGTATTACAAATCCAAGATCCCCCAAAAAAAAAGACTAAAGAGAATAATTATCAAAAGTCCACCGTCAAATTCTCCAAATAAGAGCACCACTTTGGTGCAGGTCCCAGAGCAGGTAGAAAGTAAGAAGGTATTTGACTTGAATTCAAAGCAAGTAACATCAATCCACTGTCTTTGAATACACACGTGTCATTTATTGGTCCAAGTGTGGGCTCGATGCTTGTCATTCCTTCTCCCTAAACACGTTATTTTTATAATTGAAAGAAGATATCAGAAAATTTTCAATCTACAAAGAATGAACACAAACTTTGCCATCAATCAAAGATAATAAGGAACGGACCGTGCAGTTCAACAATCAGACAGTTGGCAACTAGATAGAGTTCTCATTAACAAATCAAAATAATTCTCATAACAAATTTTGTTTGATAGTCAACAATCTAGAAGAAGTCTTGTTAGTCAAAATAGACTTCCTGCTCATAGAAATCCTTGTTTGTTAAAAATCTTTTTAACGGAGCAGAAAAAGTTGACCATATTTCAAATCGTTATGCCAATGACATTTCATCGACTTTAACAAAAAAATATATTATGCCTAGCTAGTGAACAATACATTTCGCTCAAAATCTAATTTCTATCTTTCGTAGACTGAAAAAACAGAGATGATGGAGAGATTTCTTACAGTATCTGGGTCCCAAATCCTAACAATGTGCTTGTCAGTGGTAATCATTTTCGGTTTTTCCGAATTAAGAGTTGAATGCCATTTAATGTCCAAAATTGGACTGTCATACCTGAAAAGTAATCATATAATTTTAATCAGTACATGATGGTTAAGCCGCAAATCTAATAAAAGGTAAACTCACATGTGATCTTTAATTCTTATGGGAACTGATGAACGCAAATCGTAGATCAAGACCTGCACATGATGTGATAAAATCATTCAAGTTAAAATATAATTAAAAATGACATTAGGAGATATTGGAAATTATAAACTGCACTACTTTCAAAAACAATAGTAGAAAGCTTGGGTATGAGCAATGGAAAGAGAGGAGCAATAAAATGTTTCAGTGATAAGCCAAGGATTTTGCAGTTTTAAAGGGAAGTATTTCCTTCTTTGTTTTTGAATGCTATGTAGTGTTTCAGTAGAGACATTTGTAATTATTATCCTTTTTTATTCAAATCAATAGAGGAGATTTTGTGATCGCTTTAACTAAGGGAAGGCTGGATTCCTTAGCCTCCCCCTTACGTGAAGGGATTACAAACCATCCAGTAATTTGTAACACAATTTTAAAAAATTCCCCAAATATTACCAAAACTGAGTCACTGACTCTTAACAAGTTCCATAAGGATGGGAAAAAACAAACAGTACGAAAGAGATAACCAACATGTTCACTTCTGCATCCATAATACATCAATAAGAAAACAAATCAAAGTGGGAAAACTCCAATCCAAGTCTGCCATCACCATTCTTAATTTATATTTTCACCTTTGATGCAATCATTCAATTTCCAGGAAAGTCTTAAAGATTAATTCCCAAATAATACCACAACTTAGGAGATGAATATTTACCTTTCCTGAGCTACTGCCAACAGCCATTTGGAATCCACCAATGTCGTCAAATGCTAATGCAGTGACCTCCTATGTAACAAAAAGACAAGATTCAGTAAATTATTGATAAAATGTTTTGCTACTGCACAAGATCTCGTTGAAACCTCATGAGTGCTAAAAATTTTGCTAAAACTCCTTGATGCAATCTATCCTAAAACAACACAAGTAATTGCAAAAGATTTAAGTATTCTTATGTAAGCAAAACAATTATTTATTCTTTAAAAAATAATAATAAACAGAGCAAAACAATTTTATATTTAAAAAAAAAATTATTTATACATGTTATGAATAGAAATTTGATTTAAAAAACAACGTTATCTTCCATTAAGAAAATACAAGGCATACAAAAAACCAGCTCCTCGAAAGGAGTGCAGAGTCCAAACCCTAACCATACAGAAGCGAACTTCAACCCAAAAGAATAGAACTTATCTAACAAATACAAAAAGGTTTAGAAACAAACACCCACAAAAAGGTGTCAAATCTAACAATATCTCAAACCTCTCCCCAAGACATCTCAACCCCTCTAAAAGTTCTACCATTCTTCTCAAGTCAAATACCTCACAACATAGCAAGAAAACACACATGCTACAGGACTCTGCCCTTCTTTCGAAATGGAGGATTCAAAAGGACCTCTTCCTAGAACAACAATCTCTATTACATGTCCTGCCAATCTCAAAACGACTCAAGTCTAAGCAAACAAACAACTCCAAAGGATATGAATCTATGATCAAGATCCTTTTGTTTGTTTTTTTGTTTTTTTTGAAAGAAACAATTTCATTGATGATAATGTTCCAATTGGCTATTAGGGAAGTGTGGCTATAGTTGCTAAACAGAGGGGAGCATTTACACCAATTAATGACTAGGTAAACTATAGCATCAAAAAGTTTCTCAAATCTCAATAGATTGTTCCTTTTCTTGGAAGGTTAGATGGTCTCCCTGATAGGAGCTGCCTCTTATTTATGGTATAGAGGGGAATTACAATGTTTAGGGAGATTTGAGAGCTCCCTTACCTCTCCTCCTATCCTTCTCAAGGAAATGACTACTCGCAAAAAGATACCCTCCCCTCCTTCCAGCAGCTGTATATATAACCAACTCACCACCCCAAAACCCATAACTAACTTGGGCCCACAATACAAATATTCCCTTTTCCTATTTTCCCTTCTTACCCTTTCTCCTAACATATTTATGAACAATTGGAGGCCTATCAATACCCGCCCGCCAAGAAGACACCTTGTCCTCAAGGTGAAATTCCGGAAATTGGACACAAATAGTGTCATAGGGTTCCTAAGTGGCGTCCTCCAAGGTCCCTCCCTCCCATTGAAT